ATGGTTTACTACCTGCCGCTACCCAGGTTTACTGTAACAGTGGCACATTCCCGTATCATTCCGGGATGTTCCTGAGCTGCCCGGTTTTCCCCGGTCGCTGAAGCTCCATCTGGGCTTTTGCTGAGGGATCTGGGGATGTTTGCGAATGCGCAGCCGTTTCCTGTTTTCTTTCTCTTCCGATGACTCGGGCTCGGCGTTCCCAGTGCTCCATGCGTCCTGAGGATTTTTACAGAAGATATTCCGGGTTCCAGACAGGAGGGGAAAGTCACTTACCTTTCTGTTCTTTCTGAGTCTAAAGCTTCAGCTTAACAGAGGTGCAGCTCCCTTCCCCAAGGTGGCTGTACCTGTTGCTTACTGATGTGCCCCCGATACATGACCATGGTCAAAGCCCAGTGACTATTCTTTAACGAGGACCACCATGTCTATGTAACTCAGCGGTATAACTTTATAAATCTAATTTGCATTTCCCGGATCACTAATGAAGTGCATTTTACGTTTCGTTATGATCACATATGAGGAATGAAGTGGGCTCCTCTCACACTTTTCCCGAAAAGGGGGAGCTCACACGCCGGCCTCTCTTCCTCTCCCCAGACGTGGACGAATGTGCCGAGGAAGACATGTGCCCCCGTGGGCAGTGCCTCAACACGGACGGCTCCTTCCAGTGTGTGTGCAGTGCCGGCTTCGTATTCTCCGTCGCCACGCTGGACTGCCAAGGTAAGCCCTCCTAGCACCAGGCCGGCAATGAGTCCCACCGTGGGCTCAGAAACCCCCCTTTGGGGAGTTTGGTTTGCCCCATGGTGAGACTCACTGACTTCTCCCCATACCACCGATTCTCAGGTTTGGGGGGGGTTAGGGTGATACAGGAAGATGTGTGTCAGCGTGTGTCTGTGTTCAGGTTACTGAGGAGCTATGATGTGTGAAACATCTGATGGTGTGAGAACTTCTTTAGGTCCTTCTGCTGCCTGTCATGTCGGTGCGTGTCTCAGCACGAGGGGCCAAAATCGCCGCTTCACGGCTGTCGCACGATGAAAATTGCCCTTGATCGTATGCAGGACTCTGCGTCAGTGGTATAATATTTGGCGGCCCGCTCCTCTCTTTTTCCAAAAGGTCAGTGATAAAACCCTGTGAGTATTGTCACTGTGCAGCACTCAGCGGGATCGTCACCACGCTCAGAGTGACCGTTTACATTAACGGCGGCTGGACCTGACAGCTGAGAGGACCGCGATGTTGTCTGTCGGGTCCCAAGGCAGCTGTGAATATGTCAGACTGTAAACAGCTGCTGGTCATTCCTGCTGCATTAGGGTTTGCGCTTGTACTTGTTAAAGTTGTTATTCGTGCTGTTCCAAGGGGTGGGGGGGGGGGGGACACACCTAGACATCAGTGCCTGTTTGTTCTGGGGCAGAAAAATACATCATGCTTGTTCTGGGGCAAATTAGCTCAGGGCTCGAAGTCACGATTCTGGAGTCACCACTACAACTTCATCCATCTCCTGTCCATCCTGCTGTTCAGGATTCCTGTATTAGACCTTCTGGGACTCCAGACACAGTCATGGGTAGGTGGGTGCCGTTGCCCCTGTCTCCATGCCAGCCACCCTGGCACAGCAAACCCCCCCCCCCCGATGCTGTATGTAGGTGTATAAAGGACGAGCCTGTTTGGCCAGCTTGCTGACCTTGAGCCAGACTGTAAAGTCCGAAAAAAAAACGAGCCGTCCCACCCCCCCAGTCTCGGCGTCTGGCCGCCCCTGGCAAGCACAATGGCCCCTTGTTCGCAGGCTGTATGGAAGGTTAAGGGGAGATTCTGCCGTCATGCTAATAGAGGGGCAGGAAGCAGGCCGGTCACACACGCAGGGTCCGGCAGCGGCTGTTAAGGAATAAGCCAGGGGCTGCAGTTTGCCGTTTCCACCCCCAGGGGGCGTCTTGTCAGCTGCCCTCCTTCTTATCTCAGTCGGGCTCAGAGTCGATGGCTTTAAAGCATAAAGGGGAAAACCAAAGTTTGGTGTAGAGGGGGTTCCTCTGATTCCCCCCCCCACTTCATCCTCGACGCTCTAATCACTCTGTTGTAGGACAAGCGACGGGGGTCGTAAATGGGAGATGGAGGGGAGTCCCAGCACCCTTAGTGTTTGTTTCCATGGTGCCCAGTATGGAGCCTGAGTCCCCCAGCATGCTTTTCAGCAGGTGCTGGTCACTCCTGCTTGAGGGCTTCTGGGGACAAAGTGACAGATGTCAACCATAGGGAACCAGAGCATCTGCGGGCTCCACGCCTCCTTGTGGCCAAATGAGACAATGACTCTGTGCACAAGATGATCAGCAGTGAAGTCTGTGTGTGTGTGGGGGGGGGGGGCACACCTTCACACCTCACCAGTGTCCCTCCCATAGTCCGCTGCCGCCGTGACTCATCATACTCCGAGCTGGATGCAGTTACTGACTTGTTGCTGACTTGTAGTGCTGCAGGTGTCGTACCAGCAGCCCAGCAGCTGTTTCCTATTCTCACGGCTGTTCAGTGTCCCCCCCCCCCCCCCCCCCCCCCCCCCCCACGTAACTTCAGACAGACAGGCAGCACACATTCACCTGCGCTCAACACTACTGTGCTTTGAAGCGCTTGTCAATGGCAACCTGCAGGTGCTCCGTGAGAACATTGTGGGGAGGGGGGAGGGGGGGGGAAGGTGTTTGACACAAGATTTACACCCCCGTCATCCCTGCTGCTATCTCACTGACAGTGACCTATGCTGTGACCCTACATCCAGCAGGGCAAAGGTCATACAGTGACTGGCGCTAACCTTTCATTACAGGAAGCCCTATCCTGTACTGGGGGGGGGGGGGGTGCAGGGTCCCAGCCAGAACCGCTCCCTGGCTTTGGCTTAATATTTCTAACAGATGATAGAACCCTAAGCAAAACAGCACTTAACAGAGCTGGGGGGCCTGGAATCTGTGTGGTGTCTCCCTCACAAACACTGATCCCCATCCTCAACTACTTCCTTTAAATGCCTCCACATAGCTTGTGTGTTTCTTTGATAAAAATGAACAGGCAAAATGACTGCTGTAAGCCCAAGCCCAGGCAGAGTAGCTGCTTTCAAAGCCTAAATAGATTACTAACAAATTAAAAACAAAGGATAAAAACATTACTTTGCTCAACTGGTAAAACCTAAAGGCACGGTAATGGCAGAGCAGCCATTACGGTGAAGGGCGGAGGTATGAGTGCCGGCTTTGTAAATGGAGGCTTTGGGCTTCTCAGTCATCACTGACACTTTTTTTTTGGGATGCCTTGCCGGGGGGGTGAGCCGCTCGGCCCCTGGTGGTGAACCATTGGCCGGCCTCGCCGGGGGGGTGCGCCGCTCGGCCCCTGGTGGTGAGCCATTGGCCGGCCTCGCCGGGGGGGTGTGCCGCTCGGCCCCTGGTGGTGAGCCATTGGCCGGCCTCGCCGGGGGGGGGTGCGCCACTCGGTCCCTGGTGGTGAGCCATTGGCCGGCCTCGCCGGGGGGGTGCGCCGCTCGGTCCCTGGTGGTGAGCCATTGGCCGGCCTGCCAGATCAGATAGCGAAGCAGACTGTCGGCACCAAAGAATGTCCTCGGCGAGCTCGGCGTGCTGGGAGCGCGGGCTCCAAAGTCAAAAGCCTGGACGTGGGTCGGTCGACAAACTCGCATAGCCGTGCCGTGTGACGTGCTGGAGGCTTGGGACTCTCAGACTGGCTTGGATGTTCGGGTTTTATGCACATTCTGGCCAAGGTTACGTGTTTGACATCAAGCGTGATGCTGATTCTCTCTTGACCGGTGCACTTATCTGTGATACTTTACTATGTTTTCTCTTTTTTTCACTTTCTCACCCCTCTACCCCATACCATGTCTTTTCTAGTCTCCTGTTTTTCACTTTTCATAATCCCGTCACTCCTGGGGGAACAGAAACTCTATCCCGTTTATCGGACTTGGGTGTTTAAGGTCTCCTGCCTCATCGGATTCCTGCCATTGTCCCAAGTCGTCGTGCAGTTCCCCCCCCCCTCCACATGTAGGACTAACCTACATTTCCCCACGTTAAGTACTCCTGCGGCTAGGTAGCGATGCAGAGTAGCCGTGGGCTGTTTTCCCTGGATAAGTGACAGCTGTGGAAGGAGAAGCTGTCTGAGCAGAGTGAAAGCGGAGCTCTGTCAGCAGAGGGCTTCTGAGGACGCCACCAGAAGGCCTCCTGCTGTGTTTTAACAATTAAACCCTTTGGAGCCATTGATGACTGACCCTTACTGTGCTCCAGCGGTGGTCTGTGCTTAGGGAGAGTGTCTGTACTGAGTATAGTCTGTGCTTATGGAGAGTATCTGTACTGAGTAAGGTCAGTGCTTAGGGAGAGTATCTGTACTGAGTAAGGTCAGTGCTTAGGGAGAGTGTCTGTACTGAGTAAGGTCAGTGCTTAGGGACAGTGTCTGTACTGAGTATGGTCAATGCTTAGGGAGAGCATCTGTACTGAGTAAGGTCAGTGCTTATGGAGAGTGTCTGTACTGAGTAAGGTCAGTGCTTAGGGAGAGTGTCTGTACTGAGTAAGGTCAGTGCTTAGGGACAGTGTTTGTACTGAGTAAGGTCAGTGCTTAGGGACAGTGTCTGTACTGAGTAAGGTCAGTGCTTAGGGAGAGTGTCTGCATGTCCTGGCATATTCAGGGGCCCCAGCACTTTACGTGGGCCCCTGAATATGAAAATTTATATGTAAAACTGGATGAAGGGCCCATGGTGACATTTCTGACTACGCTCCTGGTCTGTTGTGTGTAAGAAGGTCAGTGTGTATGCAGATTTGTTATGGAAGGTTCCTCACTCTGTCAGTGAGCAAACCTGCATGGAGTGTCCCGGGGGAAGAGACCTGGGCTTCTCCACATGACTCTATGACTCGGGCATTGGGAGTGCAGGCTGGCTCTCCAGCCACCATCAGCGCCAGCTTCCCCCAGTTCTGTGCAGGAGCCACTCTTCCCTCTGAAAGATTAGCGTCTGCTTGTCCAACTGGCACAAATGCCTCTCAGGTGTCCAGTGCTTCTCTAAAAAAGGCAGCCTTTTCAGTGAGCTGTCCATGCTCTCTGTGATGGATTAACTCTGCCTGGGCTGATTGGGCTGCTTTTGTGTCTTATTTAAGGGGAACGCACATAAAAGCGCAGCATGTGGTCTGCGGGGGGGTCTTGGCAAAGCTGTTTGAATGAGGCTCTTTGGGCTCTGGACTGGGCCAGACCCACCTTGTCAAACAGCGTATGTTTCATGTAGCTTAGACATTTTGTGAGGTAAGGGGCGCCAAAAGAAGCAGCTGAGAGGCTGGTCAGTGGAGGTTTTCAGGCCCTACCTAGCATAAAATGCGATCGAGTGGCCAGTTTGTTTTCTCAGCAATTACATTCAAGACCGTGCTCGCCGGTGAGGTCTCTGTCCATCCCCAGCAAGGCGGGCTGCTCTCCAGGGAATATTCCAGACTCCGTAACACAGCGGTGAAATTGCTAACAAATGCCCAGCAGAAAATAAATGGTGCCCATTTGCTCGGACAGCCTGCAGCACGACGTGACATGACCCCGGGTGCCCACAGACTGCTGCATCCTCCATGGGTGGCAGTGTGCTTAGCGATCTGGTGTCCCGGCTCTGCTAGGAGCGCTGGGGAGGATTTTGCCGAGGCCACGACTCGAGTCGTATTTTAATCCAACCCAATGTATGCGAGCCATCGTAGCCGGCTTAGCGGGCCTCAAGAATTCTCCGCCGCCCGCTTTCATGACCCTCCCCAAGGGAAGGTGATAACTCCATCACAGCTGGTGAATGAACCTTCTGTGGTCCTATCACAGACGCTCTCCTGACTGGGCTGATGGAATAATAGTGGCCCTGAGCTGTTCCAAATCGGCTCCTTTACTAAAAAGCTTTGGGGGGAGAGAACATTCTAGAAACCTGAGCCTATTTGAATGGTATCAAACGGCTTCTGGCACACACCGGTGTAATAGGCTTACACTGATGAATATCGGGAACAATCACAGATGGGGTTGTTCCACTGAAAGAGGCTTTCTGGCTTAGGAATGCTTATTTACTTTTTTTTGGGGGGGGGAAGTGTCTGTTGGCCAAAGTGACGCTCCTGGATGGGAGCGGGAGGCTTCCCTATGGCTTCAAGATGACCCCCGCCGTTACATAATTCGGTGTTGGCGGCCCAGTATTCGAGCACAGAACAGACTTCCTGTCCACTGTGGGCTGCAGTGGTTTCCAGATGCTTCTGAGGCTCAGAACATGTGGTGAGTGTGGAGGCAAACTCTGCAAGGTGTCACAGTGGAACCTGTGACAGCTGACAATATGTGTCTAGATCCTTGTGCTGTTGGGCCCCCAAAGCTTCGTGGGTAGGCGGTGGGGATGGGGGGTGAAGGCAACTCCACCCTCTGTCCACCTCTGCCCTTCTGTCTCCACCTCTCTTCACCTCTATCGCTTTCTCTTCACCTCTGTCCACCTCTGTCCTTCTCTCTACCTCTCTTCACCTGTCTCTACCTCTCTTACCCTCTATCCTTCCCTCTACCTCTCTTCAATTCTCTTCACCACTGTTCACCTCTGTCCTTCTTTCCACATCTCTTCAATTCTGTCCACCGCTCTTCACCCCTGTCCGCCTCGGTTCTCCTCTCTCTATCTCTCTTCACCTCTATCCATCTCTCTTCACCTCTGTCCCCCTCTCTTCATCTCTGTCTACTCCTCTTCACCTCTGTCCTCTGTCCCGTCTTCCCCGTAGACATCGACGAATGTGCGAACTACACAGCCTGCGGGGCTCATGGCTTCTGTGAGAACAGCCAGGGCTCGTACCGCTGCTACTGTGACCGCGGCTACATCGAATCCCCCGGCATACCTGGGTGCATCGGTACGTACGGCGCCCTCTTAAGGCTGCCTCTTAAGGCTGCCTCTTAAGGCTCCTCTCACAGATAAAGCCTTTACAGGATTTAGCGCTTCCGATTGGCCAGGGGTTTCCTGAATGAGGACGCCGTTGCTTCTCCCCCCCGCAGACACCAACGAGTGTGAGATGGGCGTCGCGCCGTGTGGCGAGGCCCTCTGCGAGAACGTGGAGGGCAGCTTCCTGTGCATCTGCAGCAGCGACAACGAGGAATTCGACCCCGCCACCACCAAGTGCCGCGACCGCTCCCTCATTACGGGTAACTCCCCGAGCTTGCACCCAGAACACGTCGGCCTCACGGCCCTCAATCGGACAAGTTAGCCCTTCAGCTGGGGAGCCTCCATGAGGTCGTTCCACTGGAAGGTACCTAGAGGGTCTCCCAAAAGAAATAAGCAGTAAACACTCAGCAGCAGAATCCCCAGCGCCATAAAGGGGAAAGCCATAGCTTCTGGCAAGCGTGACCTCCAGTCTATTAATCTGACAAACGGAACACGCCCGTAAATGTAGTTGTTAGAAGTACAAAGGCAGTTTTAAAAAGGCCTGGGAGAGGAATGGATGATTTTAAGTCAACACTGTGCTGTCTGTCCTCTTAACATAAGTAGAGGTTATTTACATAACCAGAATGTCTGCTGTATGGTTGTATGCATTAAATCTCCAAAATGGTTTGTGTATGTTTAGTGCATTCCAGCATGGGGGGGGGGGGCTCTGTTGACTCACTATTCTGTTATTTGTTTGGGGACTTATAATCCAATGAGCTGCTGGCACACACATAACATTCACTAACAAATGAACATGTAAAATTCAACAAGCAAGCTTGTTGTCAGTTAGTGGAAGTGGACTCAATTCTGCCCTCTAGTGGTTTAATTCTGAAATTGCTTTTTCTTCCGCCACAGGGGGTTTTGCCCCGGGGTTGGGTGAGACTGACGATATAGGACCCCCAAGGAATCCCGTCAAGGTTTTACCTCCGAGCACCCCAGAAGCAGCTGACGAAGGGGATCAGAAGGAGTGCTACTACAACATAAACGACGACATGATCTGCAGCAATGTTCTGTCCCGCAACACAACCAAGCAGGAGTGCTGCTGCACCGTGGGCGAGGGCTGGGGTGACAACTGCGAGATCCACCCCTGTCCAATCAGAGGGAGAGGTGCGAGGGGCTGTGCCTCTGGGTGGGGCCATTGGGCGGGTCACTGCAAGGGGGGCGGGTCAATGTTAGGGGGAGGGTGGGGCTTACGCACAAGAGATCCTGGATGATCCAGCCAAGTATCACAGGGAAACACGCTTCGTGGTTTTCTCTGGCTCACTCACCCCTCGTTGTGTCTCTCAGCTGAGTACAGCGAGCTGTGCCTCCATGGCTTTGGCCTCATCCCCCCACGTTCCTCGGCACAGAGCCTCAGTCAGCAGCCGTTTGAAGGTGAGCAAGACTCTCCATTCCTTTCCGGGCACAGCATCTCTCCAAGGAGTCCAGGGCTGTGCTCTAAGATAGACCAGGACTGTGCTCTAAGATAGACCAGGACTGTGCTCTAATATAGACCAGGACTATGCTCTAAGATAGACCAGGACTGTGCCTCAAACTCCATCAGCCCCACCTCGCCCGTGATGCTCGGCCAGCCCCAGAATGAGCAGCTTGCGGGTTCCGCAGTCTGTTCTGTTGGTTCCACTTTTAAAAGACAACTCGCACTTTTGCCAATCAGATTCCAGTTCTGGACACAGAATCACACCAGCATATACACTGCTGAAATGGGTACGGCTGAAGGGCACGTTTACAAAATTCACTCGGTCAGCATGAATGGGATAAATCCATAAGAAGGTACCATAGACTGAGTTTTGGAAAAGTAATGAACGTTCTTTGTCGGATCACACGAGGTCCGAGTGAGTTTTGGTTCCCGATACTGTAACATATGATGAGAAAGGCTGACATCAGCCGAAAAGAAAAGAGACAGTGAGTTTGGGAAATTTGCAATTATAAGCTGGTTTGGATGGATGCATAATAATAATGAGTCATGAGAGTCATTCCTGCAGACGGCTGCTGCACCGCCCGTCATACCTGAGCCTGGTACCTTTTCCCACCCTCCACTCCTCCCTCCATCACCTCTGCATCCACCCCAGATGCGGACGAGTGCGAGATGTTCGGACAGGAGATATGCAAGAAAGGGCACTGCAGCAACACGTACGGCTCGTACTCCTGCTTCTGCCAGACGGGCTATTACTACGACACCGTGAGGCTGGAGTGCGTGGGTGAGTGCCCCCCCCCCCCCCCCCACCACCTCCACGCTGTGCTGCCCCCCCGTCCCCGTCAATGAGCGTGTGTTTCCATCTGTGCGTCAGACCACAACGAGTGCGAGACGGAGAACGTCTGTGTGGACGGCATGTGCATCAACATGGAGGGCTCCTTCGCCTGCTTCTGCAGCCCGCCGCTGGTCCTGGATGGCAGCCGGCGCCGCTGTGTGGCCATCAACACCACCGAGGGTGAGTGGGCTGGGACGGAACGCGCCAGTGGGGGGGGGGGTCACGATTAGGAGGGTCACTTGAGCTCATTTACACCCCCCTCCCCCGGCAGAGGGCTATGACCCGGACGATTACGAGAACATGGTGGAGATCTGCTGGGAGTCGCTGACGGATGGGAACGTCTGTGCCCTGCCCATCCTGGACCGGCACACCACGTATGCAGAGTGCTGCTGCCTGTTCGGTGTGGCCTGGGGCAACCAGTGTGCCCTCTGCCCCACGCGCACGTCCGGTAGGCCCCTGGGTCACAGGCCCAGCCCTCTACCCTTGTCTCATTCACGTTCCTCACCAAGCCGTTGGTTCATGGAGTTTTGATGTTGACGTCTCTGTCTGTCTGTCTGCCTGTGTCTGTCTGTGCGTGTCTCTGTCCATCTGTGTGTCTGTATGTCTCTGTGTGTGTGTGTGGGTGTACGTATGTGTTCTGTTTTTGCAGATGACTATGCCATACTGTGTAACTTGCCCAGGAGGGGTCCCGGTGACTCTGACAGCCTGCGTGAGAGGCCGGGCTACGAGTACGGCCCCGATGGCCTCGAGCGTCCAGAGAGCCCCATTTACTGGGGGGGCTATGGGCCCGTCGGTGGAAGCAGCTACTTCAACAGCCTGGGGCCCGAGTATGGCCCCCAGGAGCCGCCAGGAGGCCCTCCCTATGGCCGGCAGGTCTCCCCCGAGGACTACGGCCCACGGGAGCTGATGCGAGTGCCCGTCCATCGGCCCCGCCCACTCGAGCGCTACAACGGTGCGGCTCGCCAGCGTCCACACGCACAAACTCAGGCACATATGTACAAGCATTAAATGTTACTCGAATGGAGTATTTCCAGGTCAGCCTGGCTGCCAGAGTAATTTAATTAAAAGCTGAATTATTGATTTTTAACTAAACGTGAAAATTAAAATTAAATGAAGTCCAAGCGTTCAGCCATAAAGTATTGCCAGATGATGTTTTACAACGCTTAGATGCAGCGAGTGAAAACTGGTGACCGTGCCCTGCTCCCTTCAGAGCGTTACGAGGGGTTTGAGGGCCTGCGAGCGGAGGAGTGCGGCATCCTGAACGGCTGTGAGAATGGCCGCTGTGTGCGCGTTCGTGAAGGCTACACCTGCGACTGCTTCGATGGCTACCATCTGGACCTCTCCAAGATGGCCTGTGTCGGTAAGCCTGCCCCACCCCCAGCCCCACCCCCAGCCACACCCCCATACCACATCCCAGGTTATAACTCTGCCACACTCCCTACCATGCTCTATGCCAGAGCTATTCAACTCACGGTCCTCAAGGGCCGAGCCCTGCTGATTTCCTATCCTTCCTTCACCTGTGAGCCAGGTGTGAAGCCTCTGACCAATCAGAATCAGTAATTATTAAATTAACTACCTGGGAGAACTGAAAACAAGGCCTGGATTTGGAATCGAAGGCCTGAATTGAATAGCCCTTCTCTATGCCTGATTACCTGTATCAGGTGTGTTAAATTAGGGCTGTAGCTAAGCTCTGCAGGGTGGTAGACCACGCCCTCCATGCCACATCCCCATCAGATCTATGCCAAGCCCCCTGTCACCCATCCCTTCTTGTAGAGGCGTGCGTGACTGGGCTGACGGAGCAGCCCCTAACCCGTCAGGGGCAGCAGCAGCCAGAGCAGAGCCCCTGAATGGCTGCCACACGAACGTTGCATGTTCGGAATTTGCAGCATTCCGCTTCAAAAGCGGGGCCCCTCCTTCCTCCCGGCACGGCCCACACGCTCCGGCAAGCGGATTCCAGCCTGTTTTGGTTTTTGTCTGTGGGAGATGTCCCTTGGAAAACCGGAGGAAGAGAGGCCCCCCCCCCCCCCCCCCCAGTGGGAGATCAGGCGCTGACACGCACTGTGACTTGCAGGATAACTGGGTTCTTGAGTCATCTGCTTGTTAAAGAAATGGAGGAGATGGTCTATTACCATGGATAGCCAGTGGGGGGGGGCAAACCCAGTGATCTGGGTGTGGGGTGGGTGGGAGTCTACACTCAGAGATATTAATTGCCTTTAAGAAGCCTGTCACTTAAAATGGGACAGAGGGTGGGAATTCCCAAGGTCCCCCCCCAAGGATTGTGCACTCTCTGCCAGGAAAGTGCCACCCTCCCACCCCCTCCCCCAAAACAGCCCCTGCTCACGGCTGCTTCCAATTTAGCTGTTCCATTGAGATGGGACTGTTTCTACTGCCCCCCCCTCCTTTTCCGCAGGTCAAAAACACTGAGACAGGCAGGGCTGCTCTACATGCAGCTGTACACTGTAGCCATGACACCTGCACCCACCTTCGGGGAGTGTTCAGGAGTGTTCAGGATGCCAGTCGATATGGTTGTTGCTATCAACCTGCTATTGGGGCCCCCCAGGCTGTGACTGACAGTTCCTCACACCCTTGGGGGGACTGCATCCCCTCTCCTGCCCAGATGACTCCATATGATTCCATCTCACACTTTTCCTCCTCCCACCTCCTCTCCACAGACATAAACGAGTGTGAGGACATCAGCGACAACGTGCCTCTGTGCCAGAATGCCGTGTGCTCCAACACCGAGGGCTCCTACAAGTGTACCTGCCTGCCTGGCTTCGTGGCCACGCCCAGACCCCACGAGTGCATCCCGGAGGCCGGAGAGCCGGCGGGGAGGGAGGCCGGAAAGTAAAGGGACAGAGGCGGGAGACGGGGATCCCTGCTTGCCAGGCCAGCGGCCCAATCTCACTTCCTGCGTCTCTCTCCCGCTGAATCCTCTCCCACAGTCTGGCACTAAAACCTTCCACAATAACAAAGGAAGAATGTTCGGCCTAAACATATGCAAACACAAACACAGACACACACACAGACATGCACGTCGGTCGCTGTACAGTCTGGGATCTCTCCTGTCCCTCTGTTTGTATTAACCCCCATGAAATGCATACGAAAACCACCCCCCCCCTCCCCAGTCGTCCAACCCCAGCCTGCCTCTGTAGTCACCAGGCAGAATTTTATGTACATACACGTTTTTTGATTTTATTTCCTTTGTCCTGTTAATTATTTATTTCTTTTAGGGTATGAAGCTTTTTTTTTAAAAAAAAAAATAACTAACAATGCTAAGTTATGTTTTGTACAAAAATATATATATATGAATAAATACTGGGTGGCTGTGTGTGTTTTGAATTACGTCTGAATTGGAACAGCGGGCTTTCGTCAGGGATGCAGGGAGAGAGATGTGAAATGTGCGGCTTTCCACGTCTGGCGTTTCCCATATCTCCGCGGTAACAGGTTTGTGACCCGTGGGAGGGTCTGTAAGAGTGTAGAGTGAGCTCAGCACCGCTGTGTGCCGGCGATGTGTGTGCACCGCACCCCCGTAAGTGTGTCCGTGCGATAAGCATGGTGAGATGTCCACCTCTGTCGATCACCCACCTTCTTCTCCAGCGCATGGAGACGGCAGCTCAGCCTCTCTGGGTCCCCTTCGCATTCAAGCACACGACCCTGAAGTGGCTCTTAACAGCCCAGAGCCCCCACCCAAACCGCCCCACCACCGGTACAGGGCCCGAATTGTTCTCCGGACCTCCCAAAGCTCCTGCCCCGGAGAATGATCCGCTGATATTCATGACACCGCCTTCAGCCGGCCCCTTGGCCCAGAAGAGCAGCCCCTAATCAACCTTAGACGTCAAAAGAACGGTCTGTGGGGCGCTTGCCATCAACGGCCCCTCATGGGAATGCCCTGGCATTACAGCTGTCAGAGCGGGCAGGAATGGCACCCCCCCTCCAGCTAGGTGTGCCCGCTAACCAGGGGGAGGGCTGTAACCTGTCTGCTCTCCATCATCTCCAGCCATAGGATGGCAGTACCGTCGTGTGTTCAGCGCGTAATGCTGTGCTTGAGAGGTACACAGCGCCACAGCTGCCACCGTGCTTGTGCTCTAGGTGTTCGATCACGTCCACCTGCTTTCTGTACTCCCAAAACCCATGCAAGAAATGATTCTTCCAGTTGGGGGAACCCAGAGAGCAAGCTGAGGCTCTGATGACTGGGTTGACATCATCTGTACAGTTCTAGTCCTAAGTATTTAATGTACAACTATTTACACATTCTAATTATATAGTGCGACCAGTATTTGTGCAAAAGTGGATCAAAGAACAAAAAAAATGCATATTCCTTTACTATAATAACTTAGCCATGTAGATTTTTATATTTCTGTAAAATTGTGTCTGTTTTAACATTGTTTGTGTATGGAAAAAAGTGGTTTACACTGTACCATAGAAAGTGTATGTATCCTGCCCTGTGGTGCAGACAATGGAAGTGATTTTTAGGGCCTGGCAGAGTTTTTTGGACACAGGTGTATCGCCGTGCCACCTTTCCGGCTCAGAATCTGGCCTGTTACCCTTGGCAACTCGACATGGTCACGAGGATGCTTCTCCAGGACCGTAGGATTAGTTTATGTTAGTTTACATTTTAAAAAGAATACTCCACGCCTTTAATGTGCCTTTGATGTAACTGTACCACAGGCCTGCATGACTGTGTCCCGAGATTCAAAATGTATCAGACTCGTTTAGGAATGGGAGCCAGTTCCCTCTGTGGAATCAGGGGTTGCCATGACAGCCGTGTCACAGATGTTTGGAATGAGCCTGTGTCCCAGAACGTCCTGCCGACCCCTAAAAAGAGCAGGCACTCTTCCCGATAATGGACAATGCCTTTTTTTAATGACTGATGCCCTCGACCTGCATTCTCCATTCCGTACACGGTGTTTGTACAAAGCAACCCCACTGGCTGATTAGTGAGTCTTCCGTTGCGGTTTTGTCAGGGGCAATGAACTCTGTAAACCATCAGTGATAAGAATGGGCTGTCTCTACCCAGCACTGTGGTTTTCTTCAATGTTGTGTTCATCCCCGCGTTTACCTCTATAACTTTTTCAGTCATTGAAATAAAATTAGAGAAAAGACATGTGTTGCGTTTATTTCCACCCATCTAGTATGACAATAAGCATTAACAATAATAAACAATAAACACAAATATTAATTACTAAGAAACATATACTAGCATACTATATACACCTGTGCACACTTTGTGTAATAGAATATGTTCACCTGATGCATTTATGTTTATGCTATCATTGCAGAAATAAATTTTCAATTCATTTTTTAAATATATTTAACAAAATAACTAAAACGCGGTTGCATTAAAGATAACGAAATACTGAACTTGCGTACGTGTATTACAGCGCCATCCAGCGGACAAATACGTCTTCAAGGCTACAGATCGCTTCTTTATGATTGGTTACGGGCACAGAAACCATGCTGTCGAGTGGATTGTGGGACTTGTAGTCTTCCGTCGCTTTGACCGGCCTGCCGAGATGCCGTGGGAAAAACAACATCTCCCACCAACACACATATCAATATGTCCGTTACTTCTTAACCAGCTGTTGTGATCGTTAGGTCCGTCTTTTGGCGAAGTTTAAATACCCTGTGTGCGAAAGAATGGCGTGAGCGTGGTGTCGTCGTATAATCATGCTTAATCCCTTTATTTAGGCTGGTGGAGGGTAGCCGGTTATTGTTCACTAACAGTTATTATAACTAGTAGCTGCTTGTCTCTCGTGGTGATTTAAACGCTGCTAATGTAATGGGAGTTTTTAAGGCCAATATCTCAAAGTATTTTTCGGACGTTGATCATTTCTGTGCCGTTAAATGCTGCATAGCGTATACGTTTTCACTGAAATGACTTTTCAGCCATCGCTATTTCAGATTCAGAGGTTGACGTCCTTTAACACTAAACACTGCCCATAATGAACACGATCATTGTATTAACACCATCAGTGATATAGAACCGATCGTTGAAATGCCGGCGTTGCAAGTATTGGAGTAGTTTCTCTTCTGCTAATAAAGCTCGTACCGCTTTATTAGTATCAATGGAGAGCCAGCGATGCCAAATTCAGCCCGCGGGAAAGGAGGATCTCTGTACTTTGCGGAGGCGAAAAGGCGGTGGGAAGACGAGCGAACGGGAAGCGATTAGGGCCGGAAGACTGGGGGGGTCCGAGGGAGCGAACGGGCGGCCTGCGGCGGCGTCGGAGGACACGAACGGGCGGCCTGTGGAAGAGAAGCGCTCGCTGCAGGACGGACATCGGAGGACCGGGACATGCAGTGTATTGGCGCTGGTGGCCGTCCTCTCTTTAATCACCCGCTTCTACAAGATCCTGGAACCGCCGCATATATGGTGAGTTGGGTTTTTATTCTCCCTTTACTGAGAATCAGCAGTGACAGTGATGGAATAAATGATAACGGTGCACATTAACAATGCACTATTGTAACGTAAATTTAACCTGTACACTTTCTCATATCTACATGGATTAGGGGATATAGTCCACATCAGAGTTGCAAAGGTTATCTAGATCTTCAGGTGTTTAGGTTTAGTTTTAAGGTGACTGCATATTGTGTTATCGGCCCTCCTGGTGAAAAGGCTACTTGTCCAGAAGTGAAATGCAGTGTGAAACGATGTATGTTTCAGCTGGGATGAAACCCACTTTGGAAAAATGGGCAGCTATTACATCAACAGAACCTTTTTCTTTGATGTTCATCCACCGCTGGGTAAGGTGAGAGACCTACTGTACGTTTAAGATACTTTATTATTTGGAGTTTAACATGGAACCAGCTGTTGGTGTTGAAAGCTAAATACTGTTTGACATCATAAGCCAAATTCACATGACACTGAGCACTTGTTTGCCTGTTTGCTAGATGCTGATTGGTTTAGCTGGTCACCTGACTGGCTACGATGGAAGTTTCCCGTTCATCCGGCCTGGGGATAAATATGAGGATCACGATTACTGGGGGATGAGAGGGGTAAGCACCTTTGCATGGTTTGTTTCAACTGTTGACCTTTCACCTTGTTACTGGAGGATGATGGGAAGTAACAGTCTGTTTTTTTTCCCCTCTTGATAGTTCTGTGCCCTCTTGGGGTCCTGTCTCCCCCCTGTTGCCTACCTCACCGTACAGGAGCTGTCACGGTCCTCAACTGCAGCCCTCATAGCCGCTGCCACGCTTGTCTTTGGTGGGTGGTGGTTACCGTAGTAACAGACTTTTGTCCCAAGTTTGTTAGGTGCTTTCCTGTCTGAATATGTGAACTACCTGGCATCAGATGGGTATGTGTCTATGAGCAAACAGCTTTCTGAATGTGAGCTATGCAAGTTCACATAAGGAAAGAGCTGCATGCAGTTCATTTATTCCTGTTTTGACATCTGCAGATACCGGCTGCATCACGATCTCTCAGTACATCCTACTGGACCCCATTCTGATGTTTTTCATAATGGGCTCAGTGCTGTGCACAGTCAAGTTTAACCAGCAGAGGCACAGGTAGGGATGTCTCACATCTTACTCATTACATGTTATTTATCTGTCTTGCTTTTTGTCACTATGGTTTTGGTATTTGTGTTGTCTGGCCCCTCTTGATGATCATGTGACTTTTGATTGTGTTTATTATTTTCACATAACCTGAAATACTAAGAACTGGAGAATCTTTTTAGTTTTATAATGATTTTGCTATCTATGCTGAGGTTTTGTGTATTTCTGTAGGCCATTTAGTGCCCCCTGGTGGCTGTGGCTGGTCCTGACAGGGGTGAACTTGGCAGGGGCTCTGGGGGTGAAGTTTGTGGGGCTGTTTGTTATCATGCTGGTGGGACTGAATACAGCGTGGGACCTCTGGAGGCTACTCGGAGACCTGGATCTCCCTCTGGTACTGATTTGTAAGGATGTGATTGCTGACTTTCTGCTAACTGGGGAGTGCCAGTGTAGTAAAGTTTTCATCTCTGTCTGTCAGGCGGAGTTTTGGAAGCACTTGTCAGCCCGGGTGTTTGGCCTGATCTTGCTGCCGTTGACCTTGTACATCATGATATTTGCTGTGCACTTTGTCGTCTTAAAAAAAAGGTTGGTGTGAATTCAAAACCAACCCTGTACCTTTATCACCAAAGTTTTAAACATCCAGCATGGTACTTATCGCAGTTTTTCACAGAATATTAATTAGTAAGTGAAAGTGGAGGTTTTGAAATCTACATATATATAATATAAAACTGTAACGTTAGCAAAACTAGCTATCTGTAGCAATGAGCTGTTATGTAAAGGAATGCATATAACTGGTATGCAAGTATGCATTTGTCATATAAAGCGGTACGCATGGGCAGTCTCGTCGTAGCAGCACAAATGTGGATTTATTCTATGTGCATCCGTGCTGTTATTACAAGAAATTACTAGGGATGCAACGATTCCACTTTTTTTTGTCCGATACCGATACCTGTGCTTTGGGTAACAGCCGATACCAAGTACTGATCCAATACCAGTGTTTTATTAATAAGCCATAGGCCTCACGTTCTGGAAGATGTTGATATCATTCTTTTATGTGTAAGGCAACAGCAGGCCTAACTTAAATACCGTGATATAAATTTTTGGTCATATATATAGTGTGTGCGTGTGTCATTTTTTTTAGGGAGATGTTATTTGAGATTCTCAGTTCTCAGCTAGAAAGGTCTTCACAGAGAAACAAAGCCTTGACCGTAAAAGCTGATTTATACTGCTGCATTGAATAGACGCCGTAAATACGACGTGGCCATGGACCTTATGCCATACCTTATCGTGCACCTCCCCAGAAATGTAAACATCACGGTGATGCAGCCGTGTGATTGGTCCGCTTGGTAGCATTCGTGTTTTTTATAGGAGCAAAGAAAGTGTATACCCAGGTGTACTTATATCTGCGATGGAACCTCTAGCATTACATATAACTAATATTAAATAACTTTAGTTTAGTTTTAGTTTAGATATTACACTTCAGTCTAGTTTTCTCTCATGTCTCCATAATTTGCGCTAAATTTTGTTAGTCTTTCTCTGCTGACATTAGCAAACTCTGTTTGCTCTGCACCATGGTGTGTCTCTAGGTGTTTGATCTAATTGCTTGTTAAATGACGTGCTGTCTCTTCCTCTTCTTGACACGTTGAAACTGCTGACGTCCTTTGCATATACTCATCAATTTTCCAGTGCCGGTGTTCTCTGCATTTATTCTTCCCAAATGTTTCCGGCTGACAAATCACTCGCTAAATGCCAAAATCTGATTGGGCAACACAAAAAGAAATGCAGCAGCTTTAAGTTTTAACGTAATGCTGCAATGAAGTGGTATCGGTTCTTCGTATCGGACATTTCTTATGAGTACTGGTATGAGCAAAGTATCGGCCCAATGCTGGTAGCGGTATCGGCGCATTCCTAGAAATTGCCACGCATTTTTAACCTTTATGTGGCTAATTTGTATTTTTCATGGTAGAAAGGCTAAAATGCACAGTGATTTCTTGACATAAGTGTGAATGCACATAAAATCAAATCATTTGTGCTGCTTTGACAAGAAATTGCCACACATATCAGTTTATATGCCGAATGTGTAGGTGCATACCTGTAATGTGCACCCTGGTTATGACATTGTTTGAATAGGAGAGACTGTAACTGATGTCCTTTGTTTCCAGTGGTCCTGGGGATGGCTTCTTCAGCTCGGCCTTCCAGTCGCGATTGATCGGGAACAACCTGCACAACGCATCTATGCCTGAGTGTGAGCTGCCCACCCCCTAGCTGGGGCTGCGGCCTGTCCACCGCTGGGAGTCATGGTTGCCCAGTGACTACTGGTGATCTTACAAGGTTTCGGTCCTCATAGAGTCCTGTTCTGTCACAGACCTGGCGTACGGGTCCACGGTGACGGTGAAGAACATCCGTATCGCAGGGGGGTACCTCCATTCCCACTGGCACCTGTATCCAGAAGGCGTGGGAGCGCGACAGCAGCAGGTCTGTATGCAGCCTGATCTCTGATCAGCCTTAAAAACACCTGTCAGGTATGCCTACCTGCGGGCCCCTGTAGCCCTGTTTGATATAGTCCTTGGTTTTTCAAGTACTGACAATAAGCAGGAGCTCATGGGAGTTTTAC